ATGATGTTTAGAGTGAGTGTAAAATATCTGTTTCCAGTGTGGGAGTTGTGATGTTTGGGTTTGGGTCATTTGGGCTAGTTTGGTTACTCAGATCTGCTCTGAGATGTGATATTAACATCGGCTGGTTTGTGCGTCAGTCATGAAAGTTCAGCAGCAGCTGCAGAAACTCAAGAACGGCGTCTTCAGATTCCAGGAGCAGCTGATGGACGTCAAACCGTCTCCAGACGGTGAGCACAACACTGACCCTTTACCGCAGAACTATTGTGTTTAACGCTGCACATGCATTCATTTCTGTTGAATTTCAGTGATCGAGAAATTAAGAGAGACCATGAGCGATATTGAGAACTCCATCAATGCTTTCAAAGACACGCAACATCAGAGGTACGATGTCTGTTTCTGCTGAGATGTCCCGAGTGCATTGCTTCTCTCAAACCCTCGTCTGCTGCAGTTTTGAGGAGCTCCTGAAAGACGAGAGGAGCGTGTGGCAGGAGATCTGCGCCTTCGAGAGGAAGATGGACTCGTGGTGTGTGCCGGTGAGAGCAGACGGCGGTCCTCCTCGCTCAGAGAAGCCCTGCGACTGGAGGAGTCTCCCGGCCGAGGTGACGGCGCTGCAGACCTTCCTCCAGCAGACGGGAGGCCGAGACGGCGGCTGGGACGAGTTTGACCACCGCAGCTTCCTGAAGGTGTGGACCAAGCACAGAGGAAAGCCCTCGTACAGACACGAAGCACGGCTTTATCTGCCTGGGAAGACGGAGGAGGAGGTGAAGCGGCACGAGGACTGGTTTCTGGAGCTGCGCCGGCTGCAGGAGGACAAGAGAGAGGTGACGAGCTTCTGCATTAAAGGGATAGCTCAGACAACAGTTAAAACTCTCTCATTAACCCGTTTAATCACAAATCTTTTCCAGACATGAAAATATACAGATCATGTGTCGTTAGTCAGCTTTTGAAATAATCAATAATTTTTTTTTTTAACATTTCTTTGAAAAATGTTTTAATTGTGAGCGGTGGGATCATGTTTATACCGAATTAACATATTTCTGCAGTCATCAAAATTGTTATATATCTCAGCCCAGCTATTTTAAACTCCGTTTAGGATTACTATTACGCATAAAGACTCTTATACAACATACTGAGATAAAAGACAAAAAATACAACCATCAACATATTTCAAATTTGTTACTTTATTGTAACATGTATCATCAAATTGTTATATTAGTGCTACAACATCAATATTGTAACTTATTTGTAACATTTAAACTTTTAATTTAGTGCAATATTTTGTCATTGCAACATTTTAACAACTGCGACTGGATTTATCTGCAGACCTAAGTTCACTGTCATCCCAGCGGTCACTATTGTGACGGTTTACTCATTCTCTGACCACACTCAACAAAACTGAATATATGTGACCCTGGACCACAAAACCAGTCTTAAGTGTCAATTGTTCAAAATTAACATTTTAACATTTATACATCAAAAAATAAATATCTTTCCATTGATGTATGGTTTGTTAGGAGAGGACAATATTTGAAAATCTGGAATCTGAGGGTGCACAAAAATCTAAATATTGAGAAAATCATCTTTAAAGTTGTCCAAATGAAGTTCTTAGCAATGCATATTACTAATCAAACATTAAGTTTTGATATATTTACAGTAGGACATTTACTAAATATCTTCATGGAACATGATCTTTACTTAATATCCTAATGATTTTTGGCATAAAAGAGAAATGTATAATTGTGACCCATACAATGTATTGTTGGCTATTGCTACAAATATCCCCCAGCGACTCAACACTGCTTTTGTGCTGCAGGGTCACATTTATAACTGGTTTTGTGGCGTTCTGTCCTCCAGGCCATCTGTAAATGGCGAGCGTGTAAGCAGAGAGAGCGGGAGCTGCAGCGGGAGCAGCGTGACGCAGACGAGGAGCCACAGGAGGACGAGGAGCAGGAGGAGCAGCGCAGGGAGGCGTCTGAG